TATTTTGTCCTTTAAAATCGTATTTTTCGATGATAATTTTTTTTCTCAAAATTTCTGCAATGAAATGCTTAGATCAATACATATTCGGAAAGTAGAAGGAATCACCTTTCTAACGATACCTTCCATATACGCGTATCCTTTTTTGATCCTGAGATATAGGCCAAAACATATTTTGTCCTTTAAAATCGTATTTTTCGATGATAATTTTTTTTCTCAAAATTTCTGCAATGAAATGCTTAGATCAATACATATTCGGAAAGTAGAAGGAATCACCTTTCTAACGATACCTTCCATATACGCGTATCCTTTTTTGATCCTGAGATATAGGCCAAAACATATTTTGTCCTTTAAAATCGTATTTTTCGATGATAATTTTTTTTCTCAAAATTTCTGCAATGAAATGCTTAGATCAGTACATATTCGGAAAGTAGAAGGAATCACCTTTCTAACGATACCTTCCATATACGCGTATCCTTTTTTGATCCTGAGATATAGGCCAAAACATATTTTGTCCTTTAAAATCGTAATTTCGATAATAAATTTTTTTCTCAAAATTTCTGCAATGAAATGCTTAGATCAATACATATTCGGAAAGTAGAAGGAATCACCTTTCTAACGATACCTTCCATATACGCGTATCCTTTTTTGATCCTGAGATATAGGCCAAAACATATTTTGTCCTTTAAAATCGTATTTTTCGATGATAAATTTTTTTCTCAAAATTTCTGCAATGAAATGCTTAGATCAATACATATTCGGAAAGTAGAAGGAATCACCTTTCTAACGATACCTTCCATATACGCGTATCCTTTTTTGATCCTGAGATATAGGCCAAAACATATTTTGTTCTTTAAAATCGTATTTTTCGATGATAAATTTTTTTCTCAAAATTTCTGCAATGAAATGCTTAGATCAATACATATTCGGAAAGTAGAAGGAATCACCTTTCTAACGATACCTTCCATATACGCGTATCCTTTTTTGATCCTGAGATATAGGCCAAAACATATTTTGTCCTTTAAAATCGTATTTTTCGATGATAATTTTTTTCTCAAAATTTCTGCAATGAAATGTTTAGATCAATACATATTCGGAAAGTAGAAGGAATCACCTTTTTAACGATACCTTCCATATACGCGTATCCTTTTTTTGATCCTGAGATATAGGCCAAAACATATTTTGTCCTTTAAAATCGTATTTTTCGATGATAAATTTTTTTTCTCAAAATTTCTGCAATGAAATGCTTAGATCAATACATATTCGGAAAGTAGAAGGAATCACCTTTCTAACGATACCTTCCATATACGCGTATCCTTTTTTGATCCTGAGATATAGGCCAAAACATATTTTGTTCTTTAAAATCGTATTTTTCGATGATAAATTTTTTTCTCAAAATTTCTGCAATGAAATGCTTAGATCAATACATATTCGGAAAGTAGAAGGAATCACCTTTCTAACGATACCTTCCATATACGCGTATCCTTTTTTGATCCTGAGATATAGGCCAAAACATATTTTGTCCTTTAAAATCGTATTTTTCGATGATAAATTTTTTTCTCAAAATTTCTGCAATGAAATGCTTAGATCAATACATATTCGGAAAGTAGAAGGAATCACCTTTCTAACGATACCTTCCATATACGCGTATCCTTTTTTGATCCTGAGATATAGGCCAAAACATATTTTGTTCTTTAAAATCGTATTTTTCGATGATAAATTTTTTTCTCAAAATTTCTGCAATGAAATGCTTAGATCAATACATATTCGGAAAGTAGAAGGAATCACCTTTCTAACGATACCTTCCATATACGCGTATCCTTTTTTGATCCTGAGATATAGGCCAAAACATATTTTGTCCTTTAAAATCTTTATTTATTTATATTTATAATCATAATTCTTACACATTGACAATTTAAATTATGTATTTTCATTTCATGTGTTTATTTCTGTATTAGTATTTTATTTACTAGGGGATAATAAAAATCGTTTTTCGTATATCAAACAAATCACTAAGATTAAAATTCTAACACGTTGAAAATCGTTTTTATTATAACCTTGAAAAACGTTTTTATTATAACCTAGAAAATCGTTTTTATTTTCCGCTCATATACAAAAACGTTTTTGAACTGTTATACACTGTTATACAACTGAAAGTGTTCGAAAATTAAAAACGTTTTTATCTTCACGCACATTTAAAATGTGCGGATTCCACAGAATCTTAATCCAAAAATTGAGAAAAAGCTTGGTCTATAATTTAACCATGATTCATCTTTGCAATCGTTGTTCGTTTGTAATTTGCCTTGAATTTAATTATCAAAAAGCGTCCTCTGTTAAGAAAGTTTTGATTCTGCGATTTTGAAACAACGACTAAGATTATTTTTAACTTTATTTGTGCCTAAATAAGAAGAATTGTCGGTTGTGGCGTGAAGATCAGCCAGAAACAATGCAAAGCAAGAAAGCTGCCAATGCATCTAGAAAAAGTTACAGTTTGGTGAGGTCTATGGGCTAGTGGTATTACTTGACCTCACTTCTTCAAAGATGCTTCAATTCTGGGAAATGGTGAGCGCCACCGGAAGATGATATCAAACTTTTTTCCAAGCATGTGGTGTCAGATGTCACACAGCACTCGTGACAATGGACTCATAGAGAGACGAATCGATGATCGATGATAATATCGTACGATATACAGACGAGCCAGCTTCAATGGACGCATTGGAATACAACAATGATGCATTTATTCGTGAAATACATACCAACATTTACGAAAGAATTGGTATTGGATGAATAAATTGAGAGACACTCAACATTTGCATTAAATAATCTTCAAACATTGAAATATACAGGGTGAGATGAAAAAACTGCAAACAACTTCAGACTGCAGTCATTTCTAAGCCACTCGTCCGACAGCTGTTAAAATTATTCCAATGACAGCACATTATGTTGTTTACAAGCGTACAAAAGCATTTTGGTGAGAATTTTCCAGAAAAAATGTTATTCGTGATGGAATTCAAGCGTGATATTGTGATTTCTTTATATTTGGCTGGAAACCCACAAGTGGCTATCGTTAGAGCACTCCAGCATTTAAATGTGAATAGTTTTTTTGTGTCTCGTACCATCGCTCGTTACCGTGATACTGGTAGCGTAGTCCAACGTCAAGGAAGAAAGCGAAAGAAAACAGAAACATTTCTGCTGATGATTCGAAAAGTAAAGAAGCGACCTTGACTGAAACCCGCGTCGCATTGGCCGAAAAATGGCTCGTGAGCTGAACATATCGCAATATTCCATTCGGCAAATATTGAAAAATGAGTTCGGGGTAAAGTCATTGAAATTCCAAAAAGTGCAAGAACTTACACCGCAACAGAAAGAAAATAGACTCAAAAGAGCTAAAGAGTTGCTTCGCGGGGCCGAAAATTGTGAACTGCCGAATTTGTTTTTTTTTTTCGATGAGAAAAAAATTGGTTGTCCAGCAGTTTGTAAACAAACAAAATGATCGTGTTTACTTGCTAAAGAGGTCAGCTGAAAATCTGCATCTTCGGTTGGCCACCAGAACTCAAGCGCAGGCCATGGTGATGGTGTGGGCCGCCATAACAGCCGATGGTCGACCGTGGCATCAGAATAAATGCCGATTATTATCGCAAAAACATTCTAAAGGGTATTAAAGTGTATTAAAGCCTTGGGCACGCAAACATTTTGGCCGCAGACCTTGGACATTCCAACAGGTCTCAGCACCATCACACTCAGCACGCGCCACCCAAAAATGGCTACAAAATACGGTTCCTCGTTTCATTTCCAGCGCACAATTGCCACCAATATCTCCGGATACCAATCCGTTGGACTATTGTGTCTGGAGTTTCTTTTGAAACAAGGTTGGCACTAAAAAATACCAATGTGTCAATCACCTAAGTAAGCGCTTCGCCGGGAATGGGTCAAAAAACCGCAGAGCAACATTCGGGAAGCGAGTGACGGTTTCTTTGGCCGTTTGAAGACCATAATTCGTGCCAAAGGTGGCCAATTCAAACAGATCTAAACTTATTCTAAAATTTGATGCTGTTTCCGACATGTTTTGCTTTCATTCAATAAAATTTAAAAAAAATGTTAAAATTATAACGTTTGACTGTGGTGCATTTTTCTGACCCTGTATATAAAAGAGTCCGCTTCAATTTATGCATTGGAAGACAACATTGTAGCATTTATCCGTGAGAGATCGGCCGAAATGTTGGAAAGTGTATGCCAATATTTTACTAAGCGGAATGATCATTTGAAACTCTCACTTGGGATAAACCTTTTGCATGAAATAATCTTCAAAAACAAAATTATAGGGACCGTACAATCAATTCAAATAAAGATTTCATGCATTTTTCTGTGTGTTTTTTAACATTCCTATGGCTCTTGAAAAACAAGAACAAAAACTTCTCCAATAAACAAATGATATGTTTTACTCTTTCGGCAAATAATTATGATTTATCTGATATTAACAACTTTTTTCGTAGTTAGATCCAATTCTGATTCACAAAACAAACTTCTATATGCTATGTGTGAGTTCTTGGGAAAATTTTTAGTCGGAAACAAACGTTCCATACCTATGTAAAATGTATTTTTCATAATCTCAAATTGCTACTCCGTACTACTTCTTAGTATTGATTGATATTTTAGTGGATTTCACACATCGAAATTGCCGCAAAAAATAAACTCTGAATCACTTAATGCGTAAATTGATAAACACCCAGCTCGAATTAATTTTTCACTTATTTTATGCACAAATTGAAAATAATATTTGCCAATACTGCGAAGAAGAATCAAAGGAAATATGTTTTGTGTTAATTACTCGTCATTGAGTGGGGAAGTTACCAACAACAACATACAGGTTGGAACAAAATACAACAGCTTTTTTTATTTAATCAACCAAGTTGCGTAAATATTAGACAGGCAGAAATATTTGTCAACAACCGCCTGCTTTTGCAAATAATCAAAAAATAACATCCGACGGTATTATGTCAGGGCGCTATGCTAATGCAACTTATAAAAACACCCTCAGTGTCAAGGTAGAACATTAATACTTCGCGGTAACTATCGGGTGAAAGAAGTAGAAATGTTCCAAATTAAATTAGCTGTTTCGTTATTCATTTTGGCCTCATTGGGGGCCATGGTCAATGGTGGGTATTTAAGAACTTTTTTTCTCAATTTAACTTACGGCTTGTGTTTTTATGATAAATAGGGAAGAAAAACTCCATTCCAAATGTGGTTTTAAATTAACTCATAAATAAAAAAAACTCTTATGGAATGATGTTTGTAAAAAAATGTTTAAAAAATAAAAATAATTTGTTTTTTCCTATCTTCATTGCAGCCAAGAAAATGGTCAACTGCTACTATGGCACCTGGGCCAAATATCGCACCGGCAACGGCAATTTCGAGGCCGAGAACATTGATCCATTTTTGTGCACCCACATAAGTTATAGCTTCTTTGGAATTGATGGTCCAAGTGGAAGATTTAAATCCTTGGATACATGGCTTGACATGGATACGGGATTGGGTAAGTGTACCGATGAAAAAAATTAAATAATGGATATAAAATCCAAAGGGATCGACGCGGTATGTTCTAAGTTAAAAAGTTGAACGGAGAATCCAAAAATCTAGCCTTTGAAGTCCACAATCGAAAGGTCTACTTTTTCTCTAACTACACTGTGCAATCAAAGAAAAAAATATGAATTACAACTAAGCAGATTAAGAAAGTGGTGCAAAAATAGGATATCCGTGCATCGGCGTTTTAAAACTTATCATCCCAAATTAACCCCAAAGAAGCGGGCAAGTTTCCCCCACTTCCTCATATTTTGGAAGTATTGGGACTGAGATTCCTTGAAATCTGCACATTTTAAGTATATAAGTATATAGGGAGAGATAAAAAAAAAACTGCAACTATAATTTTATTCAATGAAAGCAAAAAATGTCGGAAATAGCATCAAATTTTAGAATAAATTTAGATTTGTTCGAGTTGATCACCTTTGGCACGAATTATGGCCTTCAAACGGCAAATGAATGTTGCTCATACGTATTTTGGCCCATTCCCGGCGAAGCGCTTGCTTGAGGTGATCGACATTTTGGTATTTTTTAGGGCCAACCTTGTATTCCAAAATACTCTAGACACAATAGTCTAACGGATTGGTATCCGGAAATTTTGGTGACCATTGTGCGATGAAAATGAAGCGAGGAACCTCATTTTATAACCATTCTTGGGTGGCGCGTACTGAGTACGTTGGTGATGAGTCCCTTTGGAAAGTCCAAGGTCTGCGGTCACAATGATTGCGTGCCCAAGGCAGAATATTTTCGCGATAACATTAATTCTGATGCCACAGTCGAATAATACGAGCGGAGAGCGACCATCGCCGTTTGACTTCTGGTAGCCAACCAAAGGTGCACATTTTCAGCTGACCTCTTTGGCAAGTAAACAAGATCATTTTGTTTGTTCACAAACTGCTGGACAACGAATGTTTTCTCATCGGAGAAAACCAAATTCGGCAGTTCACCACTTTCGGCCAAGCGATGCACTCTTTAGCTCTTTTGAGTCTATTTTCTTTCTGTTGCGGTGCAAGTTCTTGTAATTTTTGGAATTTCAATGGCTCATTTCTCAATATTTGCCGAGTAGAATATTGTGATATGTTTAGTCAAGAGCCATTTTTCGGCCACTGCAACGCGGGTTTCGATCCAGTCGCTCCTTTACTTTTCAAACCATTTCTGCTGATGTTGCTGTTTTCTTCCGTCCACTTCCTTGACGTCGGGCTACGCTACCAGTATCACGGTAACGATCAATGGTACGATACGCAAAAGATTTATTCACATTTAAATGCTGGAGTGCTTTAACGATAGCCACTTGTGATTTTTCAGCCAAGTATAAAGATATCACACTATCACGCTTGAATTCCATCACGAATAATTTGTTTTCTGGTAAATTCTCCCCAAAATGCTTGTGTACGCTTGTAAACAATATAATGAGCTGTCACTGGAATAATTTCAACAGTTGTCGGACGTGTGGCTTAGAAATGACAGCAGTATGAAGTAGATTGCAGTTTTTTCATCTCACCCTGTATAGGGGAATTTTACGTAAAAGCACATGAAGTACGAGCTTAACCCCTAAATGTGTTTCTAACGTTTATGGGTTCCTGGTGTTTAACAAAAATTTTAATTTTTGATGTGATCTGGGCAACATAGTGCAATTTTATGACTCCATTTAAAGGTAGTTTTTTTAACAATATTTTGAAAAAAAGTGCCAAAAAACACCTTTGATGGCTCGCTTGAGGGTTAATTTTTTCAAGAAAAAAATCCTCGTATTGTTTTCACTAATATTGCTCAAGACACGCTATAAGTATAATGAAAGGATGTCTTCCGGTATTAACTCTGCTTTCATATCTATTTTTTTGAAAATTAAAATTTGTCGGACAATGTTTTGTTTCTATCTCTAACTGAAACAGATATTGCATGTAACGGTTATATTCTTCTCCAACAGGCATGATCCGTAAAACCATGCAGTTGAAAAGCAAAAATCCCAATCTTAAGATTTTGGCCGTTGTTGGTGGCTGGAATGAAGGTTCTGACAAGTTTTCGGCCATGGCTGCTGATCCCCATAAGAGAAAGGCATTCATAGATTCTTCGCTGGCTTTTATTAAACAATACGGTTTCGATGGTCTCGATATCGATTGGGAATATCCGGCACAACGTGAAGGATCATCACCGAGGGATAAACAGAACTTTGTCACTCTATTGAAGGAATTGAAGAATGCGTAAGTATGGAAACTTGAAACATATCAGAACTCCGATTTGCTCTATTTTACTCGCTAGCGGGAGAACTCGAAGAGTACAAGTATGCTCTCCGCTCTTTTGTTTTATGTGGGAGCGATTGAGAGTTCTCCATTAAAAAAAAAAACAAGAGAGAAAAACAGAAACACCCGTTCAACACTACAATATGTTTTGTTGGTACAAGATGGCGATTGTGCTCCGCAATACATTTTTTTTTTGTTTCGAAATCGAGAGTAGAATCTCCCCGATTTCGGGAAGTATTTTACTCCTACTCAAAAACGACCAAAGTATACTCTAACTTATTCGAGTGGCATACAAAATAATATACCCGATTTTTTCCAATCTATTTCGTGAGGATATCACTTCCAATCGGATACGAGCGAACATTTCGGAGCACTGAATACTGATCAATCTGAAGCTGATAAATTTAATTAGCTCTGGGATCAAAAAAAATATATTTTCTTTTCTCCCTTGCGCAGTTTATCACCATTGAACTTGGAATTGGGCATTGCTGTGGGAGCCTCGGCAACAACGGCTGCTATTTCGTATGATATTCCTAATATTGCAAAATATGTGGACTTTATCAATGTCATGACCTATGATTTCCATAACCAGGCCACATTATCTTACAATTCACCGCTCAAGGGTCAAGGTGAAAACAATGTTGAATCTGCCATTAAATATTGGTTGAATGCAGGTAAGTTCTAATCCGTCCAAAGTCGAAATTTAAAATAATTTTGACACTACTTTCCAGGAGCCCCTGCCTCTAAGCTCATTATGGGCTTGGCATTTTATGGCCGTCACTTCGCCTACGCCCAACAACCTCAGGCTGGTGCCCCCCAATTGGGCGAGGGAACACCGGGACCATACACCCAACAACGTGGCTTCTTGGGTTACAATGAAATTTGCCAATTGAAAAATTCCGGCTATAACTTCCAGTTTGATAATGCCCATGGAGTACCCTATGCCTATAATGGCAATCAATGGATCGGCTTCGATGATGCCAAGAGTATTGCCATGAAAGTCCAATTGGCAAATTCTTTGAATTTGGGTGGTGCCATGGTATGGTCTTTGGAATCCGACGATTTCCGTGGTGAATGTGGTGAGAAATATGTGCTGTTGAATGCCTTGAACAGTGCCTTGGGTGGAAGTAGTAGTTCGAATCCAAATCCTCCACAAACGGTCACAACTAGGAAACCTTCGGTCGTTGTAACTTCGGCACCAGTTGTGAGTAAACCCAATGCCCCTGCCGGATGCAGCAGTGATGGTTACTTTGCCAATCAATCGGATTGTAATCGTTTCTACCAATGTTCTGGAGGTGTACGTTACGAGTACAATTGTGCCGCTGGCCTTCATTTTGATACGGTCTCCCTGTCATGTACTTGGCCCGGTCAAGCCAATTGTGGTAATTGAAAATTGAGAAAGTTTTGAATAAAAAAATTATGAAATAAAATGGAATTTTGCATGCACAACCATACGTCTTTTAATTAAGCTCTATTGTAAAAACAATTCAAATCAGTAGTAAAATAGAAATTCACACTACCTAAAAGTATGCATCACACATTTACTTTTGATTAGATTGCTTGAAAAATATAATTCCAATAAATACAAATACAAGCAAGTATTTCAAAGCTTTGGCCTTAAGACAGCAGGTTGACAAATGGGCGGATTTATATTTGTAAGTTGAATTCGATTGAGCTATAACTTTCAAATATCAGTTCCATCCGATTTCAAATTTAAACCACTTTAGAGCTTGAACACACAATCGATAACAATCATAGTTAGTATGATTTACTTTACACTAATTCCCAATATAAATGTTTATTTGTTACGGGTAGTTTTGAAAAAAAAAAAAAAAAATAGTGGTGTCATATAGTCGACCAGCCCCTACTGGTTTTCAATTCAGTATTTTTCTTGTAAAAAATCGATTTCGAAATGCTTGAAAATTTACTCACTGTTTTTGATTGCATCATTTCAAAAGCAATTTCCTTACCTGAAATTAGGAGAAAAATAATTAGTTATTTCCATTTAACTTAATGATTTCTTAATTCAAAATTGAAAATTAGTAACATAAGATTTTTAGCAGATCAGCTGTGATGAAAGCATAAAAGTATGCAGCACACACTGACCATTATAAGTAAGCGAATGAATGTTTGTAAGGGGGTTCTAAACTATTTTTGCAAGAATTATATATGAAAGCAAATTAAGCTAAATCAATTAGAAAATGTGATTAATTTTATCTGATAACTAAAGTTTGTGGGTATCTTTGCAACAAACTGCAATAAAGTCAAACGTCATAATTTTTACCATTTTTTAAATTTTATTGAACGGAAGTAAAAAATGTCGGAAATAGTATCGAATTTTAGAATAAGTTTAGATTTGTGCTGAGTGTGACGGTGCTGAGTCCTGTTGGAATGTCCAAGGTCTACGGCCAAAATGTTTGCGTACCCAAGGCTTTAATACACCCTCCAGAATATTTTCGCGATAATATTCGGTAATTATTCTGATGCCACGGTCGATTAATACGAGCGGAGAGCGACCATTGGCTGTTATGGCGGCCCACACCATCACCATGGCCGGCTTGAGGCTTGAGTTCTGGTGGCCAACCGAAGGTGCACATTTTCAGCTGACCTCTTTGGCAAGCTAACACGATCATCTTGTTTGTTTACAAACTGCTGGACAACGAATGTTTTCTCATCGGAGAAAACAAAATCCGGCAATTCACCACTTTCGGCCAAGCGAAGCAACTCTTTAGCTCTGTTGGGTCTATTTTCTATCTGTTGCGGTGTAAGTTCTTGCTCTTTTTGGAATTTCGATGGCTTTACCCCGAGCTTATTTTTCAATATTTGCCGAATGGAATATTGCGATATGTTCACTGCGACGCGGGTCACTGCGACGCGGGTTTCGATCAAGTCGATTCTCTACTTTTCGAACCATTTCTGCTGAGGTTGCTGTTTTCTTCCGTCCACTTCCTTGACGTCGGGCTACGCTACCAGTATCACGGTAACGAGCGATGGTACGAGACACAAAAGATTTCTTTACATTTAAATGCTGGAGTGCTCCAACGTTAGCCACTTGTGGTTTTCCAGCCAAATATAAAGAAATCACACTATAACGCTTGAATTCCATCACGAATAACTTTTTTTCTGGAAAATTCTCACCAAAATACTTTTGTACACTTGTAAACAATATAATGAGCTGGTACTGGAATAATTTTTACAGCTGTCGGACGAATGGCTTAGAAATTACAGCAGTCTGAAGTTGGTTCTGTTTTCTTCATCTCACCCTGTATATGCTTTATTATGTCTAAAATTATTATTTCGATGAGTTACCAACGGAATGACGAACTTAATATACCCTCCATACTGGCATAAAAATCGAGCAAACAATGCTTATCAATTTATCCATGGAATATATTCCAATGCACTTTAATTTCAATGAAATGCCAACGCTCATGCCTAAATATGTTCTTTGTAAAAATACTCTAAAAATGAACAAACATATGTATGTATGTAATTACATATTTCCAAGAAAAGCATGTCAAAGAAACAAAAAAACTCGATAATTTATTGAGTAAATTTGCAATTTCACAATAACTGATAACAAAAACAGAACGAATAATAGATAACGCCCAGTGGCATAAGTTAAAAACTTAGAAGAGGCAGATATTGTTATACAATTACAGTATGCTTCAATAAATATTACAAAATATTATTTTTATGCAAATTGCAATAGATATAAAATGTGATACCCGATCGAGTTAGGCTCGTTCTCTCACAATTGTCATTATCATATTTCTAGTTACATCAGAGAATATCCAAATACGATTCGTTGTTTTATCGATTTACCTCGATCTTTGTTCTTGGCTGTATCCAAGACCTGTAACTCAATAATGCGTTGCAAATAATCACCGATGTGATTCATCAATTCTTTTGTGTACATTTTTCACGTTCTTCTGTTACAATCTGTTTACTTGTTTTGTTTTGATTTGAATATTCTGTTTCACACACCCACACGTACGTAAGTCGCTCTTACGAGATGAGCCCAAGAAAACTCAAACACACGCGGCACTTTATATTTAAAAACTGACAGCCTTATCGCTCGCTTGTCTTTTTTCCGAATTATTTTTAAAATATTGTTTTTTTTTAACTCAAATAACAATTTCACATTGTCTTCTGTCCGAAAGTCGTCTGTGGTTGAGCGTGCCTGACAAATGCCTTGAAGCCACAAGTGTTGGCGCGCTGCGTTGCAATCAGTGACTAATTGCGGCCACCATAACACCCCATTCTCAAAAAAATGGGCTGTATTGGTGGTGGTGGTAGTGCTTGCTGGTGGCAATGGGCGAAATATGAATGAATAACGTTTTCGAGCTGCTGGGTACGCTACAAACACATGCGGGATCCGATTAGACAAATCATTAGGTTTGCTTTCAACAAATAATTGGTTTGTTAATTTAATTAGAAAAAAATATTGAAGAACAATGGCTAGGGGATATTTTTAAGAATGTATATGAATGGCTGCCAGTAGCAAAAATATGGATTTTTAAAAATGTATTTATATCAACCATAAAATTTGATTTTTAGCGACTCAGAGTCAAAAACGTAGATATTTAAAAAAATATATTTTCAAAAACTCAGAGTTGCAAACGTGAATTTCCAAAAATATTTTTCAAGAGCCATAATCGTGGATACAAAAAATATTTTCCAGGACTCAGTGCCATAAAAGTAGTTTGTTTTAAATATTTTTAAAGAACTCGAAAAAATAAACATGGATTTTTCAAATATTATCATTTTTACCTCAAAATATTAAATATATTTTTAAATGACTGACTGTTTTTTTTATTTTAATTTTTTAAAGGAATGAACGTGGATGAAAAAAAAAATATTTTTGAAGGACTCAACTTGGATTTTTAGAAATAATTTTTTAAGAAATTAACAAGGATTTAAAAAACATAATTTTTTGAGTGTTGTTAAGAGGTCTCTGGATCAAAACACGAACATTAAAACAAACAAATTTTCAAGGAATCCATTTTTTCCGAATTTTTAGAGAACTCGGGACCATAGAAGTGGATTCTTAAAAAGTATTTTTAAAATAACATTTAGATTTATAGATTTATTTTTTCAAGGAATCAGCTCTATGAACATGGGTGTTTAAATAAATATTTTTCAAAGACTCAAGGTAATAATATATATATATATATATATATATATATATATATATATATATATATATATATATATATATACATATATATATATATATATATATATATATATATATATATATATATATATATATATATATATATATATATATATATTTAAGGGCTCAGCACATGTATTATTAAAACAAATTATTGTTCAAGGAATCACCGCCATAGACGTATATAAATGTGTATCATTCAAAGCAGAGAAATAATCATATTTTTTAGAATATTTTTTTAAGTATAACCAGAGGAGAATTGAAGAATATTTTTGAAGGGTCAGTAGATCAGCAATTGAGAATTTTTCGAAGGTTCAGCAGGGTTAGTAACCTTGTATTTTTAAAGAAAATGTTTTCAAGCTTCAGCAGGACTTCGTTTCAGGACGTTTGGAGTCAATCTAGGAGTGATCGTCCGTCCGTCCATCTGTCTTTCGGTCTGGCTGGCTATTGCGCATGACAACTCATGAGAAGGGTGTCCGATTGGTCCAAACTTGGTACATCGTAATGTTATGACTAAACTTAGATCGAGTTTAGAAATGGACAATGTTTGCCCACAAGAGGTCAAAATTTTCACCAAAAATTTACCTTTATAGAACGAGAAGGAACCCTCCGATTTTGTGGAAACTTTGTAAATCCCAATATTGTCTGTGCCAGGTCTGGTGCGAAAATGGGCTTGGGAGTGGGACGCCATCAATAACCTCCCCCACAAATAATCACCATTTTGAATAACTATAAAGCACATAGAACGCGAAATGAGCATCCGATTCCTTTAAAACTCGACACATTCCAATACTTCTATCAACACAACATCTGGCGTGAAGATGGAAAATATCGGACCACTTCTTCTGGTACTTCCCTCATGAGATTTATAATTTGAATAATTATAAATCTCATAAATGCAATATTAAATGCAATATAAAGATAATAGTTATCGGCCCGCCCCTTCTGGTACCTACCCTACGAAGGGTTTCAATTCTTTCAAAAGCAATCTCTCATAACTTCCGAAGCAAGTCAGCGATTCTTTTCAAACTTGATATATCTAAATATTTCTCTCAACCAAAGCTATGTTGTGAATATGAAATTTACCGGCCCACACCTAGTGGCACCAAAGGTTAAAGTTTTGATAAACAATTATTCGCACGAAATTAAAAAAAAAATATTCGATTTTCTTTACATTTCGCACATCCCAAAATTTTTGTCAGTATTAGATGAAGTGAAAATAACAGGTCATACGAAATGTACAATGTCATATGTGAGCTTTCAACATGTA